TTTAGGGTTTAGGGTTTAGGGTTTAGGGTTTAGGGTTTAGGGTAAGGGTGTGTTAACGGATCTATATGCTGTAATGGTTAGTAGTTAGTATAAGGGACATAGGAGTTGTCCCTGAGCGGCTTCTTTGAAGGGTTGTGTTTGGGTCTGTTTAGGGTTTATAAGGGGTTTGGAGATTCTTAAAAGTGTGTTAAAGGTTCAGGGCAGCGGTGTTGTTTAGAGATCAGGGTTTAGGATAAAAAGTTGCGGTTGATGAGATAAATCCTGCATTACCCGTAATAAGAAATATACCATAACTCCCATAGTTTCGGGTCCTTAAGATGATGCAGGATTTATATCATCAACAACCCTAAACCCTAAACCCTAAACCAGTCTCATTTCTTAGACGCCGACTTTCAAGCCCGCGGTTTGGCATCGCTTCTGGGCCGCGGGCTTCGAGGCTTGAAGGAACTACTCGGCGGATCATGTTAGTAGGTTTAATATAGGGTTTAGGGGTTTAGGGTTTAGGGTTGTTAGTAGGTTTGATATAGGGTTTAAGGGTTTAGGGTTTAGGGTTCGGCGGATCATGCTAGTAGGTTTAATGTAGGGTTTAAGGCTTTTGGGTTTTGGGTTCGGCGGATCATGCTAGTAGGTTTAATTTCGGGGCCTTAATGATTAGAACAGAGTTTTGGGGTATATTATACTACACTTACAACACGGAAGCCACAAAATAATACAGGTAATTACTAAGGCCCCTACATTATACATAACGTAGGGTTCCAAGAGGGATCGCTCAGAAGGATCGTGGGACTGAGCAACTAGGGCTATACGGAAGGTAAGTAAACTCAGCTTAACTTATGATCCCAACCTTTAAGGTACTGTAGGGGGCCTTAATAATTAGAATCGGGTGTGGCCTCCTTTACAGTATAAATATATTAATGAACCCGTGACTTGTAGCCTTACTTGCCCCAAACCCCAAACCCTGAACCTAAACCCTAAACCCTGAACCCTGAACCCTGAACCCTGAACCCTAAACCCTAAACCCTAAACCGTTAAGCCCCCTGATCCTCCAAGGGAGCCTTAGAACTTGGAAGCCGCCGTGGCAGCCGTCCTCGTGAAGTCAAAGCTTGGAAACCCTTTTTGTTTTCTCACAGCTGCTAAAACGGTTTAGGGTTTAGGGTTTAGGGTTAAGGGTTTAGGGTTTAGGAAACATAATCCGACCCAAAACCCTAAACCCTAATTAAACCCTCAACCCTAGACCAGAACCGTATGGATCCCGAAAACCCCCAAACACCCCATAACCGCCCCTATCAGCCCGCATGAAGACCTCATAAGCCCTGCAACTTCTAAACCTTGAGCCCTCAACCTTAAACCCTCAACCCCTCAATCTGTAAATCGTACCCTAGGCCCTAAGCCCAAAGCCTTAGACCGTAAACCTTAAATCCTAAACCCCTAAACCGTAGACCTTAGACCCTAAACCTTCTTGAAACCTGAGAGACCGAGGTGCTCATCGCCCGTCTCGGAGACGACTGCAAGAGCTTCAGCAGCCTCAGCTCACAGGATACGGCTTGGGATACTTGCCGTGGGTTTTCTGCGTTTTGCCTACATTTTCTCCCGGATGCTGTTGCTATTCGTGAGTCGTGATGTTGTCATTGATTTGGGGTCGGAGGATGGCACCTTATATACGAAGACTCTAGGGCCCCAAAAAAAACACAAGCAAAAATGAGGATAGGGATATCCCATATAAACCCCCTTATAATGAAGCCGAATAAGGTAGGGATATTCCCAAACAATTCTTATGCTTATGTCCTCTTCGAGTCCCTGAGACTGCTGACGGCATGCTGGATGACATGCATGGCCGTTTGCTGGGGTTTAGGGTTTAGGGTTTAGGGTTTAGGGTTTAGGGAGCAGGCGGATGCTGCGTTCATTCCGGACATGTCCGTCTGGATGCTTGTATTTAGGGTTTAGGGTCTAGGGTTTAGGGTTTAGGGTTTAGGGTTTAGGCTTGTACTTTGCAAGCAAACCGTGGCGAGGTTTCAAGTCGTGCAGTGTCGAAGGCCTTGCAGCCGAAAAGCCAAACCCTACACCCTGATTCCACCCTAGATACGCAGAGGTAGAGGCCTTCATGACTAGAATGGGTGATTTGGGGTATATTCTAACTAGTGTCATCATATACGATATCGGGACTGCAAAGGGATGATATTACTTGGGTATTCCGGCCTGCCTCTATATTCCGACCTCTATATTAAAAACCCTAAACCCTAAACCCTAAACCCCATATTAAGGGGCGGAGAAAGGAAGTCCGCGTTACCGCTGAGGCCCGCGCCATCTTCCGCATCAGGGGATCCTCGTCCTAGGAGCTTGGGCTTAGGATTTAGAACTCTAAACCCCTAAACCCCCAAACCCTAAACCCTTAAACCCCTAAACCCTTAAACCCTAAGCCCCTAAACCCTTAAACCCTAAAACCCTTAACCCTAAACCCTAAACCCCTCAACCCTAAACCCTAAAGCTTCAGGGCTTTGAGGGGTTTGAGGGTTTGGCCTTTGGGTTTGAGGCTCAGTGTCTGTCTGTGGTTTAAGGTTTCGGGTTTAGACTTTGGGGGGTCCAGGGCTGAGGGCTGGGCACCAGGGTCGACGGAATATTTGGTGCTTAGGTACCGGCTAGAAGGCCTCGGAGGGTTAGGGGTTTAGGGTTCGGGGTTTAGGGCTTTGGGGGTTTAGGGTTTAGGGTTTAAGGCTTAGGGTTTATGGTTGAGGGGTTTAGGGTTTAGGGTTGAGGGTGTAGGGTTTGGGGTTTGGGGTTGTCAAGCTTAGGGCTTGGTGTTTGGGCCGCAAGGGTTATCTTCCCACTTGGGGCTTTTGTAGCCTCCTTTGTGGAACTCGAGAGCTCTGGAAAAGCCATGGATCCGCTAGGACGGTCACTATGATATGGGTAGTTCTCTAAATCAGGGTCCCTTTTGGGAGTCCCTTTTATAAGGGTGCCGTAATATATTGGGGACCCAAAAAGGGACCCTAATTTAGAAAACTACCCAAAAAAAGATGCCAAGTAACCGGCAATGGCAATCCCCCTCCCCAAGCCCCCAAAACTAAACCCTAAACCCCCAAAACAGCACGATCTTCTCCCGAAGAAGCCGAGCCCTCTCAACCCTGACTGCTCGTGTGGTGAGGCTTCAGGATTTAGACCCTGGGCCCTAAGCCCTAAACCCT